ATTGAAGTGTATGGTCAGGGGCTGTTCGGCTCAGGGGGTTGAGGCAGTAGCGGTGAACGCGGTGAGGTACTTCGCACTTTCTTCAGTTATTTTTGCTAGTCCATGTCAACTAACAGACCTCACTTCACAGAGAACTGTAAGCTGCTGAGAAGCTGCGTAAATGGTGCAAGTAAGCCACTCTCGCCACAAGAATTTACAGGTCCTTACAATGTGGCCTGCACAAGCACAGCCTAATACCACTCGGTATCCCCACCAAAACGAACAGCGCCCGGTGGTCACACTGATTAATGGAGATTAAGATTTCCCGTAATTTGATAACCTATTTTTAGAGATACTCAGTGTGAATGTAGAAAATCCGCGATTCAGAGCAATCCTTGAACGGCGCCCATAGTTCGCGATCTGATCGCGAAATTGCAAGGTATGAACGTGCTCTGAATCGCGAGATTGCGCACAAAGCAAAGCATATGTATCGAGTTTGAAATCTGCAACTCCAGTGAATTACCGACTCGAGAGAGCAAGATTAAGCACAAGACCAAATGGGTATCGAATCACTCAGCTCTCTAGCTTTTTCCGCAAGTTCCGAGTGGCCGTAACGGCAGAACGCGCGACTTGCTAAGGGGCACAAACAAACTCCATCTAGCCTTTTGTAGCGCTTGTATTCAACAACAATACAGTGTGATGGTTAGCAGATAGCGGAGTTTTAATAGGAAGAAAACTCAGCGCTACAAATCTGGTTTGCTTACCACTGCATTTGATTAGAGCCTTCACCATGGAATCGACTCCATAGGAGCTTCACTGGTATCCACGGATATTCAACCCCGAATCCCTTAGAAGGCGCGGAACCGCTCATCGTGCTGGAGGTCTGCTGTCCTATGACCCATGCTTCAAGTCACCTCAAAGATGCCTCACGAGGTTGAGTTGAAGGCTTTTACTCAGTCATTTTGACAACCGGATGCTGGCCTTGAGCGAGAGAACCCAGTAGCTGAGTTCGGTTAGGGTTGTTTCTTGGAAACAGTTCTTCCAGGCATTCTTCCAGGCTATATACAGGATATTTCAGATAGATACAAGCCAGGAAATATCAAGCAATAATTTGTTGGAAAATTCCGATTTCTTTTGGAGTGTTCCAAGTTTTTTTTGGCGGCTGTATGTGCGCAGGACATCAAGTTTTCTCATTCGAGAGCAAACTCGGGACGTAACCGTATCGTTCTATTCTATAAGAACCTCAACGCCACTGCTTTTCACCCACTCACTCTGAGTGCAACGCAGTTGGTAAGTAAGCGCCCAATCCGTTTTGGTCACGAGCGATTGTATGCCGCCACGCGATTATGGGATTAAACTGTTTAAGTGGTCCATTTGCGCCACTTTCAACATCTTTTTTTACAGCAGTATTCTTCACAGAATGAAATGTGGGTGAACTATTACGGTTACTTTGGGTGATTTTCTAGTAATAAAGAGTTTGACTTCCGAAATTGCCTAAAAACACTATATAAAGCCAGCGATGATAATAAATCCATTCCGATTCAGGCACGCAAAGTTATAGATACTCTGCTAATTTCGCACAAGATATGGAGATCGGAAGAGC